TGTTCATGAACTTGAACTGAACTTGAACTGAACCAAAACTTTGAGTTCAGGTTCAGTTCAGTTCAAGTTCATAAATTTAAAGTTCATTTCAGGTTCAGGTTCAAAGATCTGCAAAATTTAAAGTTTTGTTCAGGTTCAATTGAACTTGAACCTGAACCTAAATTGAACTGAACTGAACTTCAAAACACTAAATTAGAGTAAATTCTATAAATATAATATTAAAAATATTTAATAGCTTGAATTACTGCTAAACATTCTAATTCAATAGTACTATAATTTTTTTTAGCAGAAGTTAAAGTTTTGCTAGTATAGGCTATTATATGCTCTTTTCTATCTTTAACTTAGGATAGTATTGCTCCAAGTTTTTGATAAGATGTATCAATAAATATAATAAAAGGCTCATTATAATAGGTATTGTAATATTAGAGCAGTAATTAAATATTGTTTTAAATAATTAAATATTTTGTCATACTCTTCTGTCTATACAAATTTTACATTTTTTGTAAAAGTTAATTTAAAAGCACAGTCTTTTAAGCAAAGTTTTCTATAAATCAATAGTAATAGGATGCCAGTACTATAAATGTTGTTAACTATACAAGGTTTTTGAATAGAAGTAGCTTTTCAAGTTTGTCAACCTTCTGTAAATTAGGTTTAAGGCCATTAATTCTAACTATACCTAAAAAATTGTATTTTATTTATACAGAAGTAACACTTTTCAAGATTAATTTATAGGTTTGTATTTTTAATTAAGGTAAATATAGCTTTTAAATATTCTATATGCTCTTCAAATATTTCTGAATATATGTTTATATTATCAATATAGATCATAGCATACTTCTAATAAGCAGGTTCTAATATAATATCTATTAATCTTTAAAAGGTAGAAGGTGTATTACAAAGTCCAAAGGGTATAATATTAAACTCATATAGTTTAAACTTTGTAATAAATACAGTTTTTTTTTTATTCACTTCTTTTACTTTAACTTGCCAATAATCTAAAGTTAGATCAAAAGAAGTAAACCATTTTGCTTTGTCAAAATTGTTTAATATTTTATCAATACGAGGTAAAGAATAAGTATCTTTCTTTGTTATAAAGTTTAATTTTCTATAATCTATACAAAATCTTAGCTTTCCATTTTTCTTTTAACAAGTACTACTAGAGAGCTTCAAGAACTTTTTGATTTACAAATTATTTCTTCTTTTTCTATTTTGGCAATTTTTCTTTTATATAATTTTGTTCTATTGGGGATGCTTGGTATGCTTATTGTTTAATAAAGTATTTATTTTCTGTATATACTATATATTATAATAAACTACATTAGTTTGTTTTAATTCAAAGAACTAAATAGTAAATATATCAGAATTTTTTTTCAGAAAATTTAATATAATATTTTGTTATTTATTATTTAAATTTGATCTTATTAATATAGTTTTATCTTTGGTTATATTGATTTTATTAGATGGTGAAGATTTATTTTTAGCTTCAATTTTTGGTTTAACTAATTTGAACAGATCATCAACTTCCTTAGTTTGTTTGTCTTTACTATTTTCAATTCTAATATTGGGTATCATTTTATTACTACCTTGGAAAAAGTATTTGTTTGTTTTTATCTTTGTAGTAAAATATTTATCATCATTCAGATTTTCTTCTTCTTTTTCTAATTCTAGTTTATATTCTTTATCGATTAATTATTTGTATTTAATAAAATATAGTTGGGTAGATTTTCTATTCGATCTCAACAAGTAATAGATATATATTTAATATTATCATCTTTACCAATTGATATTAGACCTAGTCTATAGTTAATTACTGTTTTAACTTGATTTAAATATTCATTGCCAAAAACTATATTATATTCTTGTGATTCTGTTACAATCATATTAATAAGAATTTTATTAGTTCCAATTTTAACAGAAATATTTTTAACTTTTTCTAGAAGAGTTAACTAGTTACCAGTAATGTCTACAACTCAAACATTACTTGGTCCATCAATTTGTTTTCTAATTTGACTTAGAAATTGTCTAGCAATTACACATCCTTTTGCTTTAGTATTAATAAGAATATTTCTTTATAACTAAAAATTTAAATAGTAGAGAATAGAGTATCTTGTACAACTTCTTTTGGTGGGTCTTCTTGTTTCAAGTTTTAATTTAATTTTTTTATTTCAATATATTTATCATTATTATCTTTCAACCAAATATTATTTATATATTTTTTCTTTATTAATATATTTTTTTTTTTGATATTAAAGTAATCTCTTAGTCATGTACCTTTATTCGATTATGGTTATAATTTTTACAGTATGATTTTTACATACTGTATATATATTTAGAGAGTACAACTAGCCATATGTGCAACTTTTGGTTGCCTATTTTAAGTAGTCTGCTTATTACTAAGTTCTATATTAGATGTCATACCTATAATCTGACTAGAGAGTTATCTATTTAAACTCTTTGTATCTATGTGATTATACTACTAACCAAGTAAAAATCTAATTCAGAAACCCTTAGTTTCAGATATTGACTTAGGACTTTAAAGCAGGCTTTTTGCTTCCAAAAGTCTTTTATTCTCAAAAGTAAACCTGTTAGAACCTTCTATATCCACAATTCAGCTAATCTAGTTTTCGGTTAATATGCACAAGCCAAGGTCCACCACTTGTACCTAGTTTTTATATCGGATACTATGGCCTGATCACTGCTACACAATGTACTTTTGCCCTTATAAAGTTCACTCAAACCCCAGTATACATATTACAGACCGTCTACGATATCCCTGACTATTTCAAACTACCAATTCAGATAGCCCAGAAGAGCTATGACCTGCTTCTGGTCCTCATGGTTAAGTTTTTTTCCTTCGGTTACTTCTTCGGTGGTCTGGTTGGTGGAGTACCTTGTCAAACACTTCAGTTCTGTTCAGTTTTGCCAGTTTCTCTGATGATAATCCTTTATATAGTACCATTAATGATTTTTTTATTAATATTATTAGTTCCAATATTTGTATTAATATAATCATAGTTTTCATAATAATTCAAGAAATTTTGCTATTGATCATTATTATACATACCACTGTAATAGGTTTTCAAAAAAACTCTATTTCGTCTCTATTAAAGTAATTTAAAATTTTTTATATACAAGAGCAAATCTAATTTAGATAGTTATATTCTTTATAATTTCATCTCTTTAAAAAAAGTGTCAAAAAATTTCATTTTTAAATAAAATAGATCAAAAACAATTTTGTCTTCAAATTTTAATTTCATATCCCAAAATCTAAAATAATTTTGAAGCATATATAGTCATCATTGTTGTTATTAGGTTGCTGATTATTATTATTTGCAAGTTCATTTGTTGGTTGTTATTGTTGTTAGAAAGTTTAAAGTTATTATTGTTGTCATTATTAGGTGGTTTATAGTTGTTTTGATTTTGATAATTGTTGTTAAAGTTTCTATTAGATTGGTAATTATTATTGTTGTTTCTCCAATTTTGGTTCATTTACAGTTTTTTACTATATGACCAATTTAATTACAGTTGTTACAAATAGGAGCTTGATATTTATATACTATATGTCCTATATACTGACAACAGTGACAAGTATTATTATTGTTATTGTTTCTAGGTTTGTTATTATTTTGCTGCCAATTATTGTTATTTTGTCTATTATTTCTGTTATTTTGATTATTATTTTGATTGTTCTAACTATTATTATTATTATTGGTTTGTCTAAAGATATTTGTATTAATTAATTTTAGTTGTTTAATAGTTTTAGTTAGGAATTCTTTGGCTTGTACAGCAATTAAAGCCTTAATATCTACTTCAAAAGTAGAAACAGTATGACCAAAGAAGTGTGGTTGATATATAGCAGGCAATAATAAGTAAGCTAAGAGAATATTGCTTTTAGAATAAGCTACTTCAACAGTTTTAGCTTTTTTAACAGCATTATATAAATCTTTTGACATAGCAGATTCAACAGAAATATAGAATTTAGTATACAATCTATTCATAAACTATCTTTTTCTATCTTTATCAGAGTATCTTTCATTTGGATCTACTTTTTGCTATAGCTTTTCTAAAGCAGCAAAGTAAGATTCAATAGTTTTATTAGGCTTTTGTTTTCTATTTCTTAAAGTATAATAATATTGAGTAATTTGGAGTAAGCTTTTAAATTGTCTTTCAAATTGGTATTTAAAGAAGTAATTCATATTATTAACAGAAGAGTAATTATCTTAACTAGTAAACATAGCTTTAAAGTGATTAAACCAAATAAGAGCTATTTCTTTTAAATAGTTAGCTACTATTTCTAGTCTTTTTTCTTTGCTGATTTTGTTTGCAGTTGCTGCATTATTAAAAGCTTCAAACTAAACAATAGGGTCTTCTTCACCTTCTTTAAAAGTAGAAAAATCTATAATCTTTGCTTTTTTAAATCTATTAATATTGTGGTTAAATACTCAACCTAACCCAATAATTAATTGTTTTATTAATTTAGTAGAAGTAGATTTTCTTTTATTTTTTTCTTGATTAATCTCTTGTTTATATTCCTCTACAGAAGTAGTTTTTCTAGCATCTCTGTCAGATCTATCTTCATATATGACTATTCATTTATAAGGATCTATTGATTCTTCACTTTTGTGTTGACTGTTATTGTTATTTTGTCTACTTATTATTATAGCTTCAGATTCAGATTTAGCTTCAAATTCTTGTTCAGACTCTAAGTCAGAGTTGTTACTGTTTTGACTATTTTTAGATATAGAAATAGATACAAGAAAACTTTTTTTTTCTTCTCAGTAATAGTTTAGTTCAGTTATAATTTAGTTAAACTCTCTACTAGAAGTATGGTTATAATATTGAATAGATATTATTAATTTTTCAAAATTTTCTATTTTTTGAACTCTGTTAAATGTACTTATAATTTGAGCTTAGTTAAAATAATATAATATTTTTTTATTATTATAAGCAGATATGTTATATTTTTTTAAAAATTACTTCTAGAAATAAAGAAATGATTAAAAAATAGTATAATAAGTTTTAATAGAATGACAAAAAAGACAACTAGAATCAGGTTTTTCTTTTGCTTTTTTTAAAGGATTTTATAAAATACTGCCATGGCGATATATCGCCAGTCCCTATAAATCACGTGATTGTAAAATATGGTTACACGATCTGCATATAAACTACTATAATTTTGGATTGACCATCTTTGCTATATATGGCCATATAACATATTCAAATTTT